ATCAGTGCAGACACAGAAGGCAACGAGGGCATTTTATAAGACCTTCAGAGCCCCACAAATGCGTTGTCTTACTTTTCTGAGAGGTTCACTGTGGCCGAGAGATGCCGTTGTAGACCCTCCAAGGCCCGTTGCATCTCAGCAGCAAAGGCAGTCATCTTGTTATCCACGACAATGTTTCCAGTAAGACTGGCAAGTTGCCGCTCCAATCTTCTGACTCGAACTCCATAACCTTCCTCCAGTTCAATGATCTCTGTCAGTGCGTATCTGATTGGAAACAAAATATCAGATGCACGGAATTAAATATATGTTTTGAATTAGGGAAAGGTAGTTGTGTAGAATGAAATTAATCCTGAATAAATTCTGGGTCAAGTCACACAGCTCTGTCTACATAACTTGTAAATTATTCGAATTAAAGCGCTGTCAGGAAATGCTTGCTTGGAATACAGCGAAGCTGTGTGCATAAAAATACCAACACGAAGAACAATATGTAAAAAGTTATTTATGCTCTTCAAACCGGAGGACGAAGGTTAGTAATAATTTATATACGTTAAGCTTCTATGTAGAATAGTGTATGTTAATAATTTATGTACGCTAAGCTACTGTGTAAAGTGCGTAAAATGGTCAGAAGTGTTTTTTGGTTTTCGGAAGGGATAACAAAATTATTTATGCTCTTCAAACCGGAGGACGAAGGGAGGTAATAATTTATATACGTTAAGCTTCTATGTAGAATAGTGTATGTTAATAATTTATGTACGCTAAGCTACTGCGTAAAGTGCGTAAAATGGTCAGAAGTGTTTTTTGGTTTTTTCGAAGGGATAACAAAATTATTTTTCAAAGAAACAGTAGGCGGCTTAATGCAACAAAGTCATCTTGACAGCCGCAGATGTTATTCTTTTTTAAAAGGTTTCTTCACGCGGCTGTTTTTGCATAGAGAAGCACTATACTTTTTCTGTAAATGGTTGATAACATATTTCTTGCAAGGTAGAGTCAACAGTCCTACGTGAAGTAACAAAAACATATGTTCTTAAACGTCTGGTAAGTAATAAAAAAAACTTTGTGAATTACGTCTGATAATGTTTTTCTCAACTACTTAGGTCGAAAAGCTAACCAAATGTTGCGCAACTGTTTAATTCTTAAAAAATACAAAAAATGAAACTGTAGGCCAAATTAGAAATTGAGAATTTGTTTGGCCATGCAATAGAAGTGGAAGTCCTAAGTCTCATTATCGGAATACACGAAACAGATAACTATATGCAACATTTAACTTTACACCGAATATTTGCCAATTTGTAAAGATAGAAAACGCCCAGAGCGTAACTGATGGCTGCAGGATAGCTGGAAATGTGTTGGCTTGCCTGAGCGAGACAGAATGCTTGTAGTCGACAAGATAATCTGTGTTTTTGTGAACGCGGTTTTCATGGAAAGGTTCAGAGCATTGTGTCACCAGCCGCGTTGTTATTTCCAGCTGAAAAAGTTTGAAATTCTCCACGTCCCTACCCCAGCGAAACTCCTATCCGACCTGCAAAATGATTGTTCCCCTCTTTCGAAGGCTGCCCCCTTCCTCCCTGGAATGCTGGCCGCCCATGACGGACTGACTGCACATGACTGGGTACTCTCCCCTCCCTCCGATTTCGGTTCCCCCATTTTCCCATTTCCCATTTTGACATGGAGATCAAATCCCGTCAAGTGACTGTGTGAAGAGCCAACTGTCCGTTCCCTCCTCCCCCTTCTTGACCCAGCTGCCGCGGCTACCCCGAGAACCACTTGTCAAGCCCCCCTCCGCCGCTGACGCTTTCATATGGCCTCTGTTCACGAACCTCTCCCCCGTTGGCGCTGGTGTTTCACACCAATCCTGATACTACGTGAATTGTCCCGTGAAATCATATAAAAGCGGAGCCACCCCCCACTCCCACTAACACACAAGGTTTCTCAAGGCTAGTTTCGTCCTGCCTGGCGTTATCCTTGAACTTGTGTCGTTCTCTTGTACAGACTCCCTTCGCTCTTGACTTGGTCTGTCCATTGTTGAAGTTTGTACACTATATACCCTTTACTATTTTTCCTTAATAGTACTGTAACACCTTGGTAGTTGTTATCACTGGTTTTGACGTACGCGTGGCCGCTGGATACAGTCGGAGAAGTCAAGAGACGAAACACACGTTCTGGTAGTAAACCGCGCTTTAAAGAACGGGCCTAGCGATGGAACAGTCTGGATAAAATCCCCAAGCAATGATGCGTACGAAACGGAAAGAGGGTATACTAAAACTGGATGTTTTAAAGAGTTTTAATTTGACAATAAGCGATTCAAACGACTCAGACTGAATGACTATCGCCCGAGCGCATAATAGAAATTTCGGAATATTGAACCCATCACTCTAACAAATATTTAACCCACCTATTCTCTAGAATCGCTATTTCATGAAACGTTAACCAAAATTCTAAAATGCGTATTGGATTATATAAGCTGGCCTTAGTAGGCTTCTACTCTCTAAGCTGCTAACCGGAGCATTAGTTGAATATGTTTTTTGCGTTTTGGGTGTAAACGGACTGCAAGTGCATTTTTTGAAAGGATAGGAAAAAAATTTGTAAAATTCCATTTCGAAAACCAACTACGATGTATACCTCTGTACGTAAGAATCTTTTATCATCTAAAAGTATGTTTATTTCAGTTATTCTCTGTAGGAGACGTATACTTGATCCACCAAAGCAGTCCTCTTCTTGCGAACTTAAATCCTTGACTTCCCTTCGCTTTCAAAATTGTTGGTGTCCAATATAAAAATGGGCATCTAATAGTTCCTATCGGTTGCTGAACGAAATTAATCTATTTTAGAAACCCGTAGAATCGGCACGTCGGACATTCACGTTAGGAAAACGATATCTTTTCCCACAAACTTGCGGTAGGTCACATATGGCGATAAATGATGCTTTCGAAAGAATCGGGCAGCTGATCCTTATTTCCAACAACTCAGTAGAAAAAAAAAGAAACCTGGAAGCTTTCAGTGCTTTATATCAGCTGCGCATATAGGCACCAAAATGTTTAAAAGCCCTTTGATAGCATAAGAAGGGGTGCATAACGGCCAAAAGAAGCTTCCCCAAAAGCAAGGTGCAAAAGAGTGAATAACTGTGTCGTCATGTCCAACGCACAAACTGTGCGGAAAGTAGTTGTATCAGGAAAACTGCGAAATTACACCAGACGCAGATGGTTTAGAATGCAGCAGCAGCAACGGTTAAGAGGCATGACGCGTATCTTGTGTCTTTCAACGGGATCCGACCAGAAAACACGGTCAGCCACTTCAAAACTGTATTCGCAGACGGTGGTTATACAAACCCCCGAGGTTTCCCTGATTCAACATGGGCCCATCATACTGGTTTTCGCATCTTACCCTGTAGCGCTTCGGCGAACAAGAAGAAAAATTCTCAGTCAGACTCTTCGCCCCTCTCCCCTTCCCCGCCTTTCCAAGCTGCTAACAGAATGAGATTATAATAACCACTGACAGCTCTAATTGCCAAAAACAAAAACATCATTCTCTTCCCCCTGTTTACTGTACATGCATAGACTTCTTGGATTATGCAGGCTTCCATCCTTATCCTGCTCCACAGGCCAGACGAAGAATAAAGTGAAGTGTAAATTCGCCGAACTTGACTTCTTCAGCGTTTACATGTGCGTAATGGTAGAACTGTGTCTTATGAGATTTAGCGCTCGCAAGAGTTGCGAGATTTTGACTCAACTTTTGTCGGCAGGCAGCATTCAAGGAAGCACAGTGACTTCATTCCCTGCATTTCCAGTGTGTAGTCCACGTCTGGACTGAAAAGTAAGTTACGAAGTTGCTACAGCTATGTGACGTTCACAGAAGCTGAGGCTTTTCACCGGTACACTTATGTGTGAAATACTAAACTGCGCAGACATCTGAAATGCATCAGGTTTGTCAAAAATTAATTCGAACTTGGAGCTAAGTTGAAGGTACTGTGGATAGCTGGTAAGCTTTTTTTCTAATAGAAGAATCATGACTTTGGGTGCTGTAGGGATCTGTTTAATTTTGGTATAATCTATCTCCGACATCGTAGGATAAATCAACTTCAAAAGCTTTTAGTTTCAATAAGCATTGCCACGTAACGTCAATGTACTCTCACAGAAAAACAGGCACTAGTTTATAGCATATAAAAACGTTGGCGATTGTTGGATTATTATGTAGTGCTGATTTTCGCCTAAATATTTCAACCTATACTTTGAGAGAATTGTAAAGAAGCCTATTTTGCACAAGCAAAGACATTTTCAGCAATTAGTAGGGCGAAGAAATGAACCGGTTAACCTTTAAGATGCTCCAAACTGAAGACATGGATTTATGTCATTGGGTTTAATTAATTAGCTAGTTTACTGCCAGTTTCCGTAAAGATGAACCTCCAAATGCTGGCTGAAAGGCCATGGTTGAAATTTTATTAAAAATCAAAGCCGCAGTTATTTAAAAATCTCACATTGTTAAAAGTACAGTGAGTGGTCTAACTCATGGAATCCACGGATAGTTACAAGTAAGTGCGACCTTGAAAGTCTTACAACAATAGGGTAATGGTCATTCTTCACAAGAGGGTATATTGCAATTTACCAAGGCATTTTACGTTTTTCAGAAATACCAGCTTTTTAGCAAAAATTCGATGTACTAGGTAAAAACCTAAATTTTACATGTAGAGGAAGGTGGTTCTTGCGAAAACCGAGTAAATAAAACAACAGAAGTTGAATTACGTTGAAAAACCACCGTTTTAAAAATTGTCGGACATGTATGCTTCCATATTAAGCGCAGTTTAATTTATGGCTGTTACCGAATAGCCCAGAATTCGAGTATGTATTCCAACACGAGAATTACTAGTTGCTTCTTTCGTTTATCTATTGCCTGAGTTACGTTGGATTAAGGCAGCAGATTTTCGCTTGTAAACGTACCAAGTTTGTACGTTAAGAGAACTTTCCTTCCGCCACATTTATTTGAAATTATTTTGGGATTTCGAGTGCGATATGGTTCAGATCTTTCTTGAAATCGTAATTAACACCTTACGGTTTTCACTGGCTTCAGTCGATTGGCCATATATAAGATATATATTCTATGTACTTACCGAAACCTTAAAAATAAGATATTTCTTAAAAGCATTCACGACAATAACGAATTTTAAAACTTCCTTCTGCAGCTATCTGTTTGGGGCATGGCTTTAAAATCATCCAAACATGTCAACTCATTGCCGAGAAAAATGAACGTCCATGAAAAAAGTCACAAATGAAAATGCCTAAGATTTATTAAAAATAACTTTTATAACAAGTTTCCTTTTGGAAAAAGCGCTTTACTTAGATATTTTTGGGTCGAATGTCTACGTGCTTTATTCTTTTGAAGACTAAGTCAAGATCAAAATGGGAAATTTGGGCCAGTTTTTGATTTTTTTAAAATTAGGGATATATCTTCTGCTGAAATCGAAAGGTCCCCCGGAGCAGTTTTCAATATATTGGTTCACTTCTAGACTCTTTTTTCGTATATGTGCTTTTTTACGGTCGTTATTATGGGGGGGGGTAAAGCAAATTACAGCTTTATAAATGGACTACTTTATTTTATGGCACAAAATATAATTTTTAAAGCCTACTTCGTTCTTCTTTTCCTAACAATAATGCGTTATCTCATAATTGCACTTACCTCAATTTCGTGAACGCAACAGAAAATTGTCTGTTCTGTAATCATATAAAATTAAAAAATTTCTGGGTTTTATTAAGTTTATTTATCGTAGAAAACACACACAAACGAGAAGATTTTCTGCAAATTTTAATAGCATAGAAAACTCCCTGAATATCAAAAAACGTTGGATTTGGCCCCATTGCGCTCCTTTTTACTGATCTGAACTGAACTCTTTTCTAGTAAACAGCATTTGCGCCTCAAGTCAACTGAATGAACACAATAAACAACCTTAAACACGTATTAAATCATCCGCTCAATTTTTGCTCTTTTCATTTAATCAGATATACATCTAATGTATTAGCTTGTCTTGAACGCAATCACATAAAAAATGGCCCTAAAATCGACGAACTTGTGAGGTGCAAATGACGGGCCAGTACGCACGCATCCCTGTCCTCACTTTGACCCAAATTAGCGCACACGAAAGCGAAATTCTCGACGTCTTCTCCAACCTTATATGCCAGCATCCATCGCTCGACGTGTAAGGTTTTTGCGTCCGCGAAAGCCTGAATGAAAGCCCACAAATGGCTGTAATCTAAACTTACGGACTCCTGTGGCTGGGCCCAAAACGCATACTATCGAAGTGCCTTTGCCGGAAATTACGCATGTCCTCAAACACCTATGCAATTCGGCGGCTGCGATGTCGAAATGTACGGGCCATGTTTATGACAGATTTATGCCTGAATGGGTAAGACTTGCGAACTTCCTGCAGTTGGAAGGCCAAAAAAGCTATTTCATAAATTCATAAGGGGGTTGAAGAAAGACGTGCAGAGATTACACAATCACGTGAATACAGTTCAGCACCACAAAAGAAGGGACTATTTGGACCATTTCCCATAAGGCTTCTGTCTACCTGCGAAAGAGGGATTAAGAAGCGCGCCTTGCAGAAATGTAAACGGAAGCAGTAAGACCCTGGAATCTGCATTTCCTAATTTCATAAATCGCGAGGAGATTTGCATTCCAATTCGCAGCAGTATAATAATTTGATCATAATTTCGACGCCATATTCATTGTGAGCGTCGTATGAAAAAAAGAAAAAAATCGAGTCATTTGCAAACTCTAATTGGAGGATCGATTCCAGAGACGGATACCGGTAGTTATGTCATTTGAAATAGCTAGACTTGCTCCAAGAAGTATATATCCCTAGCAGCTTTTCAGAATTTTATCCCGACTGAAGTGGCTGATAGGTCATTTTCAACTGTCTACTGGGGTTCTCTACAGTATAAATCTTGTGCAATAAGTAGGCAGCTGCATACGCTGAGCTGGCAATCACGATTTGATACAGCAATAAAAATGCTCAATTTTTTTAGACTATGAGGCACGAGTTTTAATTCAGGATTTTCCACGTACTGTTCCTGCTATTATAATAATAATTTTAAATTAAAACGAACAAAAATTTTTCCTGAGGAAGAAGTAGTAAACGAGCAAGTAGTTATAGGCTTAACGCAGTCTCAAATGAAGGAGGTATTAAAAGTAGTCTATTTAGAAATTAAGCACCCGCAAAATATGTCAGCGCCACTTAGGAGCCAAGAACAAGGGCTTATTGGTTTTTTCCCTTTAGGGTAGTTGGAAATGTAAACG